GAAAAGTCCAATACATTCACTTTCGTATGCATCAAATAAAACCTATTTTTCTCTCTGTAAACTTGTACAGTCCACTTTTTGTCTTTGGAGGATAGAGTAATGGGGAGAAAGGAGATATACAGAAAAAGAGCTCCAGAAATCTGCATGGGGTTCCCTTAAGCATTTTATACTTATAACAATCTTAGTTAAGTACTAACTAGTCATATGTGATTAGTATTGCCACATTACACTATCACACTGACCACACAGTCCTAAACCAACCACTGTAAAAAAAGAAAGTGCAGCAAATAATAAAAAAGATGTATTGACAGTGATAAGAATAATGATGATGATAAAAGATATTACTGATTGTACACATATATATGTGCCAGGTACTATTTTAACTGCTTTATATGTCTTAATTCACTAAATTAATACACATATAATATACTTAAGAGGTAGGTATTATTTACATTTTTATAGGTTATATAATTTACCCTGGGAGAGACAGAATTCTAGTCTAAGCAGTCTGTCTCCAGAGTCTGTGGTTTTAACTATGATGCTATACTTCCTTGCAGTAGTAGATGGTAGTAGTTTTTTGTATGTTATATTATTTTTAAATACTCTTTCTTAAAATAAAACGTTGGTAAACCTATCTTGATTTTCCCAATTAAAATATTTACTGGCTGGTAAAATCTTAAAGCCTGGAAATCATCACTTTGTAGGGCCAATAGAGAGCAAGAAAATGAAAATATGAGAAGAAAACTGATGGAGCAAGGTCCTGGAGAAATTGAGCTCTAGAATACAGGGAGGAGTTAGACTTGGAGAACAGAGCAGGGGCTAAGTATAGGAGGAATTATGGCCAAGTATTGAGATGATGGTGAGAAAAGTGTCTCTGAAAAATCAAGGTCATCTTAAGCCTAAATGAGCCTGGCAGTAATTATTAGGAGGCTTAATTATTCATTATTGTAGAATAGTGAAGATTTGGAGCAACTTTTGTGAGTAATGAGAAAAATAAAACCAGGAGTAGGCTGAAAGAATAGAAAAATAGAGATGGCTTCAAAACTAAATATTTTGATGAAGTCAAAGAATAAGCTTAGTGGGAATAAGAGAGTGGGAAATGTAGAAGAATATGAAATGGTGGTCAGAGGTAGGATTTCTGTATTTAAAATCTCAAAACCAGAGCAAAGGCTCATTCATTAATCATAATGATGATAATGATAATAAAAAGCATTTACCAAATATATTTAAAAATTAATTTTATCAAGTCATAATAACCATTAATGTCATATTACAGACGAGAAAACTGAGTCCTAATGAATTTTCAATAAATATTTCAAGCTTTTTGATACACCCTGACAAGATGACCTTGAAATAGAGTAGAAAAGGGCCAGGCATTCTAAAGACAATTTTGAAGAAAATAGGTGGGGAGGCTTATCCTGCTGTATATTAATATTCATTGTAGAGCTGTGGCAATGATGACAGTGTGGTACTGTTTTAGCAGTGGAAGAGAATGAACAACCCGTGGATGAGTGGAAACCTGATTTGAGATAGGTGACATTACAAACCATAAAAGAAAGTTAAGTTATTCAATAAATGGTGCTAGAACAATTAGTTATTTGTATATAAAATAATAAAAAAGAAAATAAAATTAGATCCCTATTTCGTGCACAAAAAATAAATACTAGGTTGATTAAAAACCTAAATATGAAGAATAAAAGTTTGGAACTTTTAGCAAAAAAAAAAAAGGTGAATATCTTTGCCATTTGGGGGTAGGAAAGGATTTCTTAAGACTCCCCAAAACACAAATTGTAAAGGAAAAGATGAATAAATTTGGCTATATACAAACTAAATTTCAGTTTAAGAAAAGATACCATAGGGCCAGCCCGTGGCTCACTCGGTAGAGTGCAGTGCTGATAACACTAAGGCCACGGGTTCGGATCCCATATAGGGATGGCCGGTTAGCTCACTGGGTGAGCGTGGTGCTGACAACACCAAGTCAAGGGTTAAGATCCCCTTACCGGTCATCTTTATAAAAAAGAAAAGATACCATAAACAAAGGTAAAAGAAAAGTAGACTGGGAGAAGATAAGCAACAAATATAACCAAAAAAGTATTATTATCTGTAAAACAAATCAATTGAAAAAGATGAATGAAGCAATAGCAAAATGGGCAAAGATGCCAAGAAATGCCCCGTAGGCATTTGGGATTAGTAGTACTAGAGAAACTGGGCTGAAAATAGAGATTTGAGCTATATTAATCTATTGATCATACTAGATTTCTTGGGACTAGATGTGCTAATGGGAAGAAAAAATGTAGAGAAATGAGAAAGGTGGGTCTAGCAAGGACACAAAGCCTGCATAGGCAGAGGATTACTGATCCTCCCTGAAGTGCCTGGAACTAAATAATAACTCCTTTCACTGTATTTACATATTGATTATTTTATCTTGCATTTTCTCACCACAAAATGTCTTTAAATCTTTTAAAGATGGAGTCTAGGCTGGTTAGCTCAGTTGGTTAGAGGATGGTGCTGATAACGCCAAGGTCCAGGGTTCAATTCCTGTACAGAACAGCTGCCAAACAAAAATGATAATAATAATAAATAATAATAAAGATGGAATCTAAATATGAGATGTGAATACTAATAAAGCCAGAATTTGTTGAATACTGTCATAAGGTGGTCAGATAAGCCTGACATTTCAGTTCAGTACAATATTATCTTCAGACTCTCTGTTTCATATGTTGCCAAGAAGGCAGGGTTGTGGAAATAAATAACAAATTTTAAAATATGAATAAAAACAGGATTCAAATTTTAAAGTAAAGGGAATCTAAGAAAATATGCCCTATAAATGCAGAATAAGGTTTTTTTAATTTTTTTATTGGTGGGATTAGGATCTATTTCCTTTTATACATTAGCAGAGCTCATGTAATGCATCAGAAATAGCTAATGTATGAGCCACACCTCTTCTCTAAATTTTAAGGCCAAAAAAAAGGGAAAATGTTTTATCCATATATATTTCCATTCACTATATACCTTCTACTTGAAAATAGCAAAAATCAGCTATTTATGTAAAGTGCTAAAGGGAAGGCAGTTACAAAAAATACTGTAAAATTCCTCTCATGTAACGTTCAAAAACATGCAAAGCAAGACAGAACAGTGGTTGTGGTGGGGGCATTGTGGACATGGTTGGAAGGGGCACAAGAAGCCCTTTGGGGTGTTGGACATATTCTATATATTGATGTGGGTGGTGGTTACATTGAATTCTACATTTGGCACTTGAGCATTTTATTATGCTATACCTCTACTTGAGGTATATATTTTTTAATTCTTTAGAGACAAACTGCTTGACGACCCTAAAACTATCACTAAACACAGTATGTTTTATCTTGTCAAGATGACAAAGCCTCTAATTAAGAGAAGAAACAAGTATTTAATGCCATTTTCCAAGTGTTCCTTATTCTAATGCACCCTACTTTCAACCTACACCTACCTCAACCATCTCCCTAAGGTTGCCTCTAACATTTGCTCAACAGAGATTAAGGATAAAAGCCAACATATCAATCCAGAGAACAAAGATATTTGAGTTCCATCATTTTTAGGATAAACGAGCTCTAGGGTCCTTCTTCCCCCATACCAAAAGTAAGCTCCCAAAAGGAAACTGAAAAGAAATCCTACTGTAAATACCAACCTTTTAAATCATCCCTTTGTCCACCATCTTCTATATTGCACTAGCTCAGGAACATGAACCTGTATCTAAACATCTTCGTATAATTTCCATTCTAATTTTATTTTGGCAATTTTGAATAGGTTAAATGATAGAAAATCGTTTTATCTAGATTTAATTAATTTTCTTACTGTTTTTTTTAGTGAAAGATAATCACAAACATTAAATAGTCCAGAGAATAAAAAGTTGCTTAAAAAAAATTCCTTTTCTCACTTTAAAATAAAAATACGAAGGGGGGAAAAACATGTATTTATTACAACTGGCTGTTAAGTCATACAAAATGAAATATTAAACTACCCGCAGTTCTTTGATATTATTACAGGTATGTGTTGTTGGTCAAGTGGAGAACTGTAATAATGAAGCACGGTGTTAAGATACCTCACACACCATGCAATCAGCAAGTGCATATTTCGGACATTTCGACTTCACTCAAAATATAAAACAAAGTCATGGCAAGGAAGGTGTTTCAAGGGACTTAAGCTGTCTCCTTTCACCCTTCAAATCTTTTTTAGATACTAATAAAAATAAGTAAAATTTAAAGGCCTTCACAAATACTTTATATTGTAGCAGAAGCTCTGCAACATAAAGGAAACCCTAAGGTTTTATATTCTTTTACCACTTTCCCGAAGAGTTTTAGTTAACGGAGAAAAGAACAGATCTGCAGAAGGAACTGAAAATATCTAAGGAGGACTATTCCGGGTCTTGTCAAAAACCTCAGGATCTCGGAGCAGGGTTGCACTAAGTTGCCAAGAGGCAGAGCTGCAAGCAGTTCCTGGTTTAGGTAGAGTATTTTAATTTCTTTTTTTTTTAAACCCTGGCCTATGGGGTGAGGGAGAGGAATTAGGCACCAAGGGGTACGGAGTAGGTTGCTCTTAGGTGAGTGTGCAACCGTAAGGCCACCGCACCCAACCCTTGGTGGGAAGAGGCAGCCGCGACGACAGGGGCCGCAGTAAAGAGATGGCAAGAGAAACTCACTTCTGAAAAGCGCCTTCCGGTCAGAAAGCACTCCCACAGGCTTTATCCCAGCGCACAACAGTATCCTTTCTGCTGGCCGCTAGCGTCTGCAGAGGTAAAAGGCCCAACGGCAAGGACCTGTTCAAACTTGAGATTCCAAGGTGGGCCTCGCTACCCTCCCGCTCCCGGGGCTCAGCAGCCCGCCTGGCGCGCACGTCACTCTTCCGCTGCCAATCGCCTCCTGGCAGGTCACCTCTCCTCCCAGGGCTCTCAGCCCCGCCCGCCGCGCGGTCCCAGGCCGCGAGCGCCAGCCGGCCGCTTCCGCTCTCGGCGCAGGCGCGGCGGCTCGGCCGGAGAGCGGAGGGGGCGCGGGAGAGGAGCGGACGCTGCTGGCCAGTATGGTGCTGGAGAGCGTGGCCCGCATCGTGAAGGTGCAGCTTCCCGCCTATCTTAAGCGGCTACCAGTCCCCGAGAGCATTACCGGGTTCGCGCGGCTCACAGGTAACCCCACCAGCCAGTCTCCATCCTTACCTGCTTCCCACGGGCGGGGGGAGGGGACACCGTGAAAAATCCTCGGTCCACGGGGCGGGGCGGAGCTTGGCGGGTGGCACGTGACCTCGTGACCCTGCGCGCTGAGGACGGTGGGCGCGCGCTGGCGTAGTCGCTTCTCGGTGCTTGATGACCCGGGGCCTTTGTCCTCGTGGTTGTCTCCAGTGTCTTTCTGTGGCGACAGTCCAGGTTTTTGCACACAAGGTAATGAGTTGGAGCGGGCCAGTCTCTTCCATCTCCTGTCCTATTCGTCGCTCTCTGCAGCGTGCTTTATGTTTTAAACCGCGGTAAATCATCGTTACCTAAAGCGCCATGTAACAGGCAGTCCTAGCTCTCGATTGGATTTTACCCTTAGCGTGTGGGTGGGAGTGAGTGTGTGGGAGAGAAGTACACATATACACGTAACACGTATACGGCTGCTTTATTTAGTAAAGAAATTAGAAAATAACTTCCATTCCTACGGGGTATAGTTGACCTATATGGGGGCTTTTGAGGTCACCTTTTTTTTTTTTTTTACGTTCCCGGGGCAATTGAGGTAATTTGAGTTGGAAGAAAAACACTTTAGCCAGAAAGTGTTCGAAAGCTGGTATGATGGGTCGAATCTTAGAAAATGAAATCTAATGAATATATGTAACCTTCATACTTAAGGTTCCTCCTTTACGAAAAGTTATCCATAACTCAGGATTTCACAGTTAACGGATGAAAATCTCCAGAATGCAGTCAACACTTGGAAAATTTTGTTGGGTTGTGAGCATTACAATATAAAGGGGTTGTTTGTTTACCAGACTCAAATGCCAAGTAGGATGATCAGCAAATATTGAGCTCCTGTGTCCTAGGTATCAGGGAATGCAAAAATGAATTTAGGTAATTCTGAGGTAAATAGAGTCGCTTAGCCTGGAGCATTCTAGAGATCTGTAATAGCTGACTTAAATTATAGCAGTTGGAAGGCTGTCTGGTAGAAGAAAATAAGATTTGTTCTGTGTAGACCAAAAGGCAGAACAGGTACCAAATTATTGAAGGTTATTTGGAGGTTGATTTTCATTCCACTTGAAGGATGATTTTTTTTTTTTTTTTGTCTTTTTGAGACCGGCCGCACCGCGCTCAGCCAGTGAGCGCTGTGAGCGCACCGGCCATCCCTATATAGGATCCGAACCCGCGGCGAGAGCGCTGCTGCGCTCTCAGCGCCACTCTCTCCCGAGTGCGCCTTGGGCTGGGCCCTGAAGGATAATTTTTTTTAAAAAAATTAAAAAATGGTTTCCTGTAAATAAATGTGGCGTGTTGGATGATAGCCCCTCTCAGAGACTTAAAAAAACAACAACAAAGCAGACTCTGGCAGTGGGTGGACTTGGGGGGGGGGGTAAATTAGATGACACTTAAATTATTTTCCAAATCTAGAGATTCGTTGAATTATGGTTAGAAACAACTGCTCCTGTTAGCAAAGGGATTGTGAGATTTTTAACATTTTTAGATGTTAAGGGGTTTACTAGAAAACGTGGAATTGAAGGCATGGTAACTGAATAGTAAACATAAAAAGTAAATATCTAAAATCAGAAGCAACATAAAAGTAACATAAAATGTGAAAACTGTTTCAAATCACTAAGTGTTTATGAACATCAAAATCTTTCAATCCTAACTAGTTCATTCTGATAGAATTGCAGCAATTATGTAAAATTTTGACTCCCCCCTTTATTATTTCTTTCACTTAAGTACTTTACATAATTCAGTGTATTCCTTAGTTTGTTCTATCAACTATGTAATCTTACTTTAGTCTAACATCATAATGGGCCCAACATTCTTCTACAGCTGGTAATTTGGAATTTTTTTTTTCATATTATAACAGTTCAGTGGTAAGTAGCTATATACCAGTTGTCATTTACCCCCCTTTACTTCTGAATGTATTCGGTAAAATAATACCAGGTCAGAAGGGTGTAATCATTTTGTGACATTTTTTGTTTTTTGCCAATTTACCTTCTTAATAATTTGCATAAATTATTGAGTTTTTAACAGTCAAGAAAGGAAAACATCTCTTTACTCTCACCCCAACCCAGGGTAACCTGAATTATATGTGTTGAGGCTGATGGTGGCTGCATTTATATTAGTTTCAATTTTCTGTAAACAAAGTATAAGGGAAGCAGATTAGAAAGTATGATACTGTATTTAATGGTTAGAAGATTTTAGAAGGGTGTTTTCTTTCCTTGAAAATCCCTACTGTCAACAAATATTTAATTCCTATTAAAGGCATTAGGGAACTCAACCAAAACCTTTTCCCTCTTAAGTCAGTAATTTATGGTAACTTCCTCTTTAAAATTGTTAAATATTCAATGTGAGGGCTCGTTCTCAGAAATAATGACAACTCTGATTAAATAATAGCATGTATTTAACTTGTCCCATTACAGTGTGTTTACAATTCTTGTTGTATTGCTTATTTGTTCAGGAAACATGAACATACTTGTAATAACTGCTTTATGGGAAAAAATGAGATAGTCTGTTTCGAATTGGACAATAACAGTTGCAGGGTCTGTTTTGGAGTATTACGGGAGAAAATCTTCAACGGCCATTTTCCACTCTGAGCCTCCCCTTCAGAATAGATTATAATAGCTAATGACGTTTGGCTTTCTTGAATGAGCTACTTGTGGAATCTATGTGTAGACTTCTGTTGAAATAAAAACCTGGAAGACAAGTTTTCAGCAATTAATTGTTTAAAATGTCTAGGAGACCAAAAAAATATTTTCATCTATGAAAATAAGAGCAAAATAAGTTACAGTTCGCATTATTGTTGCCTTTATTTCCTTCCCAACTTAGATCTAGCTGTTTTTTTTTTAAAGCAATTGACACTCTCATGATGACTCTGCATTCTTAGAAAACACATGGAGATCCTTAATTACCAAACACTATTTAAAAACACACACTTCTGGGGCCGGCCCCTGGCTCACTCGGGAGAGTGCGGTGCTGATAACACCAAGGCCCCGGGTTCGGATCCCATATAGGGATGGCCGGTTCGCTCACTGGGTGAGCATGGTGCTGACAACACCAAGTCAAGGGTTAAGATCCCCTTACCGGTCATCTTTTAAAAAAAAAACCACACAATTCTTATCTATCAGAAACAATCTATGTTTGCTTATGTCACGTTTTCAAGAGTGATTTTGCCTCTTGGAAGTGTAGTCTATTCTAATGCTTTGACGTTTGAAAAAGCTTTTGCTATCATAAGATAAACTTTTAAAATGGAACAAAAACAAAAATCTTACCATCTGAAAGTCAGAAGGCAGTTTATTTCCAGATTTACAAGCTAGCTAGAAGATTTTACCCACTTAAACTAGTTTGCTTCTAAGAAACAAAACAAAACCCCAAACAACAAAAAAATTAGTTTGCTTCTTTGAAACATTAAACGTTTTACTCTTAAAGACAAAGCGGTGTCCGAGACTTTAATAATGTATTTCCTAGTGTAATACAAACATGTCAGAGCTGACAGCTGTAAGGGCATCATTAGCTTTTATCCAGAAGGGGCCAGTTCTGAACTGAGAATTTAGAAATAGAACAGAGTTGAAAACATATCCACAAAAAGACTTGTGCAGCATTTTCACAGCAGCCTTATTTATAATAGCCCCCAAATTGGAAGCAACCCAAGTATCTACTACCAGGAGAATGAATAAAGAGAGCATGGTATGTTTATAGAGTAGAATACTGCTCAGCAATGAAAAGGAATGAATTACTGATCTGTTAGATGAATCTCAAAAACTTTATGTTGAGTGGAAGAAACTTGGTTATAGAAATCAGTGCTGGAAGATGCAATGCGTTAAATGTGTCTCCCAAAGGTTCACATATTGGAAACTTAATCCCCATTGTAACAATGTTAAGAGGGTGAGAAATCCTATTATGGTAACTGAAAGGTGGTCCTTTAAGAGATGATTAGATTATGAGGATTGTACTCTTATGAATGGATTAATCCATTGATAGTTTAATGGGTCGTAGTGGGCATGGTTCTGATGGCTATAAAAGGAGAGCACGTGAGGAGGTTAGCTCTCCTTTGCTCAGCCCATTCTCACCATGTGATACTCTGGTTGCCACCGGACCCTGCAGAGAGTTCCCACTAAGAAGGCCCTTACCCTTATGTGCCTCCTGGACTGTGGACTTCCAGACTCCAAACTGTAAGAAAAATTTTGTTTTCTTATATATTACCCAGTTTCAGATTTTCTGTTAGAAACAATAGAAACAGACTAATACAGGGGAAAAGACTAGAAAGGGCTAGGAGAATCCTTTCTGGGGTGAAGCAGATATTTTACATATTTTTATGCAAATATTTTTACATATTTTCAGTATTTACTTGTCACAGCTGAGAGCTAAACACTTAAGATCTGTTTATTTTATTGTATGTAAATTATACCTCATATTTTTTATTTTTTATTTTTTTATTTTTTTTGTCTTTTGTCTTTTTCCGTGTCCGGCAACGGATCGCAACCCTCAGTGTTGCCCCCGTACCGGACCGGGACCAGCAACGGGATCGCAACCCTCAGTGCTGCATCCGCTCCTCGCTCAGCCAGTGAGCGGGAACCGGTCTGTATGTGGGATCCGAACCCTCGGCGGGAGCGCCGCCACGCTTCCCAAGCGGCACACTATCCAGTGCGCCACCGGGCCGGCCCGTACCTCATATTTTTTAAAAAAGGAACATACAGTGAGTTTTCTTAACAGGAAAACATAATCATTAAGTTCAAACTAAAGAGCCTCATTTATTAACATGTGAATAATATTTCTGAAGACTAAATAATTTTATTTTAGAAAACTTTTTTTTTTTTTTGAGAATTTGGGAAAATTTTTACGTAGTTGTTATAAATTCTTTCTTTCTCCCTTGTTAGACCTAGTTATGTAAAAGCCAGCATAATAAGGGATTATGCTAACCTTTGTGGAGAACAGTTTTTGTTTCATTTAAACATTTTCTTCCATATAGCTATTTTGTT